CTTAAACAGAGCAGTGCAATTTAAAAACTGTTAGTGTTTACCTGGTCCTGCATGAGTAGCCATCCATAAAAAGAGTTAGGTCTCCCATTTGTGGAGTAAAAGTTGTAGTTGCAACATGAAGTAACTAAATCTCCCTTTGAACAGGTTTCTTAGAGCTGGAGGTTGGATCTTTGATACTTCTGTACCTCATGAAGTGAGACTTCTGATCCCAACTTCTTGCTGCGCTCCAACTTGGCTCATTGCTGCTGCTGGATCAGCAGTAAAATTCTTCAAGTAAAAAGACCCTTTCTCCTAGTTTCTCCCCACGTGCCTGTTCTTTTGGAGGCCAAATTCTACTTGGAGGCTACTCTGTTGAGAATGTTAATTAACCAGTAATAGCTACTTTGTAGACAATTCTGAGGCCCTAGGTAATAGTGTGTTTATTGGCTTAAAGTGTTTATTAAATGTTAATAAGTTTCAAAAAATAAATTTTTTAAATTAATTATATTTTATATCATAGTAGATTTCATTTTGATTAACTTTGGCTCTTGTTATTAGATTGTTTTAATGTTAGGACCTTAGAAGTAAGGTTTCTAAGACTTTGAACTTAGTGGGGGGAGCTGTCACATCTTGGGCTCCATGTTGCTCTGGAGTCCATGAGAGGAAGCTAGATTGAGAGTCTGTATATTCAAAGGTAGGAGGAGACATGAACTCACAATTACATTTTTCAACCCTGGCAGTACTTTTGCATTTCTAATTCAAAAGATGAGGGGAGCAGAATATCAGAACATGAAGGGTAAATTTAAAAGGTGATGTTAAAAGGAGTACCAGTGTATCATAGAACATTAGGCTGTGTTAACTTTATACTTCATTAACAGAAGAAACTTTATATGCATTTAGAACCCAGACTATTTCAGGAAGTTGTATAATTAATTATGAGTAGGGGACAGATATAAGAAATTAAATCTGTAAAAATATTTATTCAGTGGATATTGCCATTGCAGATTTTAAGTTTCCACTAAGGACATCATTTGAAACATAATATGGTACAAGATCCTTTTTAAAAAATCTACTTCTGCCTGGTGTGATGGTTCATGCCTGTAATCCCAGCACTCAGGAGGTTGAGGCGGGAGGATTGCCATGAGTTCGAGGCCAGCCTGGGGTACATAGTGAACTCAAGGCCAGCCTGAACTACAAAGTGAGACTGTGCCTCAAAAAATAAGTAAATAAAATAATAATCCACTTTTGATTTTGGGAAAATTTTTCTTAGCTTTTCCATTGCTGAAATGCAATGCTTGGTGCCCACAACTTGAAGGAGGAAAGGTATCATTTAGCTCGTGGTTTCAGGAGGTTCACTGCATGGTTGTCAGGTTCCAAGACAGAAACCACATGGCAGAAGGGCATGGTGGAGTAAAACTGCTTAGTTCATGGCAGCTGGGAAGCAGAGCAGGAGAGCAGTGCCAGAGAGGAATGGTGAAGGACTGCATATTGTGCCCAAGGTCACTCCTTGATGACCCACTCAGACACACATCTTGAGCCATGAGTGTGCTTTACTAACAATATACTAGGTGTTTCTTAATCCGTTGAAGTTGACATAGGATTAACAGTCACAAACACTTAGGGTGTTTAAAACAGGAGCAATCTGTATGGAAATAGATTGAACTTTGTATTGAGTTTAGAAATTACCTCCTTAAGGTGACCAGGAAGAAAAATGAAAAAGAAGATAGGAGCATTGAGATTTCTTTATGTACTCAATTTTCTCAGTCTTAAGAATTTTGGGTTTCAGGTGATCATACGATAATCTCAGTGAGACGAGTTTTCTCTCCTGCCTGGGCAGCCAAATAAAAAGGGCTTCCAGAATACTACTTCATCTCCCACTGCTTGCTTTTCTTTGTGTTAGTCACATCGTGCCAGGGAGTGGTTTAGTATTTCTTTACCTGTACTCCTTAGTGATCCTGTCTTCAAATGGCTTTATCTAGCACCTGTACCTTGAAAGATCTCCTATTGATATCTCCAACCAGAGTCTCTTCCTCCTAGCTCCAAACTTGTAATCAATTTGGATGTACAGTAGGCATCTCAGACTTAATGTGTTCTGTCGAACTCCTGATTTTCTCCAGGTCTGCTCCTTGCTATTGCCACCAAGTCAGGAAATGGCAATTGTTGTTTAGTTCCTTGAAAAAATCCGGGGTCATCTTCAGCTCTTCTTTCTCCCACACATCGCGTCTGATATAGACTACAGAAAAATCTCTTTAGGATCTACCTTCAGAATATCTCCAGAGAGTGACCTCTCCTTACCACCCCCACTTCTACTGGGTCTGTGAGTGTGACTTCCCTGTAGCCTTGCCAGTTCAAGCTGAGGGATTTGTGCTACTCTAATAGGTGAGAAATTATGTCATTGTAGTTTTTAAATTTATATTTCTCTCAGGGAAGTTGAATGTCTTAATATGTTTAAGCTGTCATTTCCTTTTTTTATGAACCCACCTCATGTGTTCATTTTGTTTGCTCATTTTTACCTCAAGGGATATTGGTTATTTGTTAACCATTTCATGAATTCTTTATATATTAGGGAGGTCAGCCCTTTTTGTGTAATTTGAGTTGCAAATATTCTTGTGGCTTTTTTTGTCTTGACCAATCAGAACCCCTGAGTCAAAAGATCCCAGTGTTTTAACTTGTTGACAGGTGCAGTCATATTGCCTTTTAGAAAGACTTAATCAGTTTACATTCTTCACATTACATGGCTTCATTTCTTCTCATTCTTTTTTGGTATGGGGAATCGAACTCAGGACCCTGCGCTTGCAAGGCAGGTGGCGGAACCACTGAGCCAAACCCCTGGCCCTCATTTCTTCTCATTCTTATGGACTTAATTTTTACTTAAACATTTTTAGTTGATCTAATAATCAGCACAGACTTTTGTTAATTTTTATTTCCTAAATTCTCACGAGGTTGTATAATTTTAAGTGTATAGTGGTGTATTTTTCAAAGCTACCTATATGCTCTTTTTTTGTGGGAAGGAAGGTTTGAGATGAGGTCTCGCCATGTAGTTCAGACTGGTCTTGAACTCACTATGTAACCCAAGCTGGCCTGTCATTTGAGGCCATCCTTCTGCCTCAGCCTCCTAAGTGCTGAGATTATAGATGTGTACCACCATGCCTGGCTCTATATGCTTTATTTTTTCTATATTCCTTATTTTTAAAAATTATTTTCTAAATTCAGATCCATTTTTGTATACGCTACAGATGTCTTCCAATCTGTGTCTTAGTTTAATTTTTTAAAGTTTCTGCTAGTCAGGTGTGGTGCCACATGCCTGTCACCCCAGAACTCTGGAAGGCTGAGGCAGAAGCATTGCAAGTTTGAGCACAGCCTGCTGATATAGTGAGACACTGTCTCAAAAAGTGTTGGAGATGTGATTCAGTGCAAAGGCCCAAGGTTCTATCCTAAGCAACACACATACAAAAATACACCCCACACCAAAAAACCAACACTAAACTCTTGCCATAAAGGTATTTTTTAGTGTTAAATTCTCAATCTGTTGAATAAAGAATACTACTTAGTAACATACATTTTTTCCCCTTTACCAGCTTTGTAACAATTTCATCATGTTTTGATAACCCACTGTTGAATTTTGACCCTAGAGAACTGTATTTCTCCATGGGAGTGTGGGCAAGATACTGGTAGTTGTATTGTAAACCAGAAGCATTTTAAAATTTTTGCTGCATGCCAGATTATACTATAATTTCTTCTTCTTCTTTTTTTTTTTTTTCCTGGTACCGGAGATGGAACTTGGGACCTTGAGCTTGCGAGGCAGCCCGTGGAACCACTGAGCTAAATCCCTGGCCCCTATAATTTTTATTTTTTAATAACAGATGAAATCATTTCTATGCATTAGGAATGCACTATATTTTTGCAGCAGCTCTTTTACCCCATTACATTTATTTGTGATGTTGTGTTTTTTTTTGTTGGTTTGTTTTGGAGACATGTAGTCTCACCCTAGCCTTGAACTTGCTATGTAGCACAGGTTGGCCATAAACTTGCAATCCTCCTCCCTCAGCCTCTTGAGTACTTAGATAATAGGTATGCACCACTGCACCCCTTTTATTTGCATTTCTTAATGGACACTGAGCACTGGAAAAAAGTGATTTGGATTCATTAGGGATGAGGAAATGGCCCAAGGATTAAAAATTGGCCTCAATCTGTATATTAAAAACCTGTGTACTTATGTTCATAGCATCACTCATTGTAGCCAAAATATGGTAATAACCCTAAAGTCCATCAGATGATAAGTGGATGAAAAATATTTAATATGTTTGTAGAGTAGACTATTGGCAGTAAACAAAAACAAAACAAAACAAAAGGAAGTCAGGCCAAGTAAAAGAAACAATTTACCAAAAAACTACATACTATGTCTATATATGAGGTGTCCAGAGGAGGCAGATCACTAGAGATAGAACATTAGTGGTTGAAGGAGTTGGGTGAGAATATAGGAAGTGATTACTAATGCTTGCGTTTATCTGTGCTGGAGATCAAACCCAGGCTTCATGCATGCTAGGCAAGTGTTCTAACCTCTGAGCTACATTCCCAACCCCTGCATTTCTTTTGAGAATGATGAAAATGTTTCAGTATTAGTAGTGATGATGGTTGTACAACTCTGAATATACTAAAAGCTAATGAATTATTAAAAAGGGGTGAATTTTATGGTATGTGAATCTCAAAACATCTGTAAAAATTAATCTCTGATTGTGCACAATACATACATGCGCACATCCATAATAAAAATTTGTAAGAACATGGTAGATGAAGTAAATTGATAGAGCAGTTCTTTAGTTTACTGTAATGATGTTTGAAGAAAAGGATGCTGTGATCTGCAAGGAACCTTTATTTGCTTCTCTAGCAGATGAGCAAACTAACATTGGGTAATTTTATGTTCTGAGAAATAGTTAAATTATGTTAAACAGATTGTTCTTTACATGGATGATTTTGAATCATAATTTCTTTTTTTTATTTTTAATAATTTCTTTAAATAGGCCAGTCTTATGAAATTCGGATGTTGGATAATCGGAAAATGGGAGATATGCCAGAGATCAGTGGAAAATTGGTAAAGGTAAGGACAGCCTATTTTAATTCCTAACAGCTTTTGCAGTGATTGAGTAAAATGGCAGTTTTACCCTAAGAGTTTTTATTAAAAAAACCTAAAATTTCAAATTAGGAAGTAATGGATATATTAAAACTTTTAACTTATTTTAGCAATGTTTTATTCACTCATGTGTAAAGTGGGGATTAAGTTTTTGGAACCAAGGAGCATGAAATAAGTTAGCTGCAGATATAGGAGGAAAAAAGCCCACCACCACCGGTACAACAAAAGACTAAACTCTTTATTAAAAGATAATTTGTGGGTGAGGGGGATATGACTTAATATAAAATTCTTTTTACTCCTTAAAATTTTATTAAATAAAACTTGAAGTCTGTGTTAGAAGCCAGTCATCCTAGGTCTAGGAGGTGTGGCCATTGTCTGGTCAGTCTTTTAGAGTCTGTCTTCAGAACTGTCCCTGACCCCACCCATGTTTAGCCTCTGGCTGTCGTGCACCAGAGCTTATTATAAATTCCTCAGCATTACAGGGCAGTGTTTACAGAAGAAGCTCATCTGGGGAAAGGCAAAGATTTTAAATGTTAAGATTTATTTGTTTTGTTTTTTGATACATGGTCTTGGTTTGTAGTTGAGGGTAGCTTTGAACTCACTATACAGCCCAGGCTGGCCTCTTAACTCTTGGCAATCCTCCTGGCTCAGCCTCCCTGAGTGCTAGGTTTACAGGCATGCAGCACCATGCCTAGTAGGTGGTAAGATTTAAAAATAACTAGTTTGTTTGATAGATGACACTTAATGTTTAAAATACTTATGCCAAGATAGTTAAATATGTCTGACTAACTTGGAGTGATAGGGTCAATTGATTAAATTGTTGTTCAGCTTCATTGGATTTACTTTCAACTTAAATACCAAAAAACAATATGGGTTGGGGGTATATATAGCTCAGTGGTAGAATGCTTATCTGGCATGCTTGAGGCCCTAGGTTCAATCTCCAGCACTGCAAAAAATAAAATTAAAAAATTGCATTTTGAAAAAAAAAAAAAAAGACTACATAGAACTAATTCGAGTGAAGAAATGTAGGTATTAGTGACACTTCATCTTGGGATAATGAGTCAGTGACAGAAAAACTATCCAGCTATGAATACACAGTGAACATTTTGCTGACATCACACAGCATACATAAACATTTAGCCCACTGAATAAAAGAACTAATTTTTGAAAGATGTTACTTCCAGCTCATCTCCCACTTGATAAGCCACATATCTGATTTTTGTTGGATGTGACAGAACAGGTCCAGTTTCATATCCTGAGAGCTTGTCTGGGATTCAGAACTACCATCTGCTACCACCAATGACTGTAGAAGGAGTTTCTTGGAAAGCACCACACCCTTCTTTAGCTTGATCCTAAAAATGCACTATAGCTTTCTAGACTTTTATTTACTGGCCCTCTAATCATCAACTCTGCTACTTAAATTTTGGGGACAATCTTGGAAAGCAGTGATATGTTCCCGAAGTCCTTTTGAACTTTGATGTGCTGAACATACTTAGTGATCAGTGATGAGTTTCCACAGCTTGCTTTGTTTTGCCTTAATGATATGGCTCCTTTCTTTATATTAGTTCAGTCTCCTTGTAGTCAGAATTTCCAAAAAAAAAATTTCCAGATAACAGGTTTCTCCCAGTTTTCATTTGTTTTCTTTTATATCTTGCATTTTCTTAACTTAGTTTATCTTTTTATCCTCCTTTACTATCTTAGTCTGACATTCTGGAATGGGACTTAATACAACTTGTAAATCTAACATCTGTGTTCTCATTATTTTCATCTTGATGTAGCTTTAGACTAGTTATTCCTGAACAAATAATAATTGCAAACATGACATTTTCTGTACTTTGCTTTTCTAAGTATGGTGTTTGAATGCATTTTGATCACTTGTTTTTCTGTTCTGGAATAAAACAGTGGTTGGCATCCCAAGCCAGTGGAAGGTGAAGGAGGTGTGTGTAAACAGCAGAGAATGGGCCAAGAGTTTGGAGAGGAGTTAAAGCCTTACCTAGGAATTTGAGTGTTTGAATTCAATTTATCTGTAATTTTTTTCCTTGTTTACCTTAAATTAATCTCATTTGCAGGTTAAATAGTTGCATATGTAGTCCAGAGATGTAGCTCAGTAGTAGAGGACTTAGTGTATGTGACACCCTTTGTTCAGTTGCCAGCACCACAAAGCAAACAAGCCAACAAAATCTTTAAAAAACAGTTGAGAATGAATTTTATATTAGGCTCTCTTTGGGGAGCAGGTGGAGAGGGTTTTTTGTTGTTGTTGTTCTTTGTTTTGTTTTGGCCAGTTAGTTGACAGAATGACTGTCTTATTAAAAAAACTTAAAGATTAACTCCTTATTTATTTATGTAGGGTTTTTTTTTTTGAGAGAGGATCTCACTATGAAGTTCAGACTGGCCTTGAACTCGCTGTGTAGCCCAGGCTGGCTTCAAACTCTTGGTGATCCTCCTGCTTCAGCCTCCTGAGTGCTGGGATTACAGGCGTGTGCCGCCATGCCCAGCTTGATTAACTCTTATTTTAAATTAACTGTTTTATCATTATGCCTGGGGTTCTCTGAATTTGTTGATGACTTTTTATAATACCTGTGTATCTGGCATTTTTTCCATAGAAATAAAGAGTTCTTGATCACTAATTTTATGGCCATGTACCTGGAATTTGACTTGCAATATCAATGTCTTTTATAAAATGTATATTTGAGTAACTCCTTTTGTTAGTACTTCTCATTTTCAGGCTGTAAGTCTTTGCACCACATATCATAATCCAAGTATCCAGGTACAAATTATGGAATGGTTAAAGCAGAATGTGTTTTTGTTCATCTATTGTAGGTTAATACATAATGCCTCTGTGTTTTAGCTGGAGTGGTTTGAAAGTGCTCTTTTTCCCACTTACTCCACAGAGCATCATAAGGGTTGTATTCCATGACAGACGACTGCAGTACACGGAGCATCAGCAACTTGAAGGCTGGAAGTGGAATCGCCCAGGAGATAGACTGCTCGATTTAGGTACAGGCAGTAGACAGATACCACAGAGATGAGGACATTGTTCAGCTATACCCATTAATGTGTTAGCACCATCTAACTGTGTGGAGAAAGTTTTGGTGTTACTAGATTCTGTGCCTTGAGAATTTTATACTTAAAAAATGATGTTTTTTGGTGTTAAACCAACCCTAACCAGGAATTTTTATGATTTTGCAACTATTTTAATTCTCATTTGGTATCCATCCATCGTATTTTTAATAAAGTGAAATAAAACCATAGTCGGAGAAACTGAATCTTAAGTAGATTTTGATATTGAAGACAAGGTTGCTTTTGGAGAGCTTTGAAGGGAAAAGTTCATCATGGATGTAATTATTTCCCTTATAATGTTGTATGTTAAATGGTAAGGGATTTTTTGGTTTTTGTTTTTTTTGAGATGAGGTCTCGCTGTGTTGGTCAGCTGGTCTTGAACTCCTGGGCTTAAGTGATCCTCCTGCCTTAGTCTCCTGAGAGTAGCTGGGAATATACAGGTGCAACACCACTCCTAGCTCAAGTTGTAAGATTTTTTAATTATTTGAAATGAATGCATTTTTACATATCTTCTTTTTACAATACAGATATTCCAATGTCTGTGGGAATAATTGATAGAAGGACAAATCCAAGCCAGTTAAACGCAGTTGAATTTCTGTGGGACCCTGCAAAACGCACATCTGCTTTCATTCAGGTTTGGAGTTTTACGTTATAAGAATCACAGTGACCAAGTCATTTAGAAGATCAGAGTGAGATTTAATTCTTGACATGTTATATTTTTAAATGCTTATTTTGTAAACTATTTTAATGTCCTTCTTCTTTACAAACATAAAAATGGGTTCAATCTAAATTTGTCAAGTTTTAGACACATGAAGTTTAATGATGTAAAAGTCAAATTCTATTTTTGCCATTAATAGTCACAATAATTAAAATATCTTTTTCATGATGTATTTCTCTTGAACAAAAGCTGCCATTTAAAAGGATATGACTGAAAAAAGTTTATAGTTTTAAAATTCTTTTTAGCATTATTAAAAACATTCTACTAATGAAAAAATCAAACCTCCACTAATAGACAATGATAGTGATGAATTCTCCATGTACCCATCACCTGGCCTGAAAGGTTACTAGTTTTTCCCTTTTTGTAGTTATTATTCGTAGCCTTTAAAACAAACCCTATACATATTTCATCAGTAAATACCATGTATGAGATACTTTTTTTTTGGTACCGGGGATCAAACTCAGGACCTTGAGCTTGCAAGGCAGGCACCAGAACCACTGAGCTAAATCCCCAGCCCTACATTTTTAAGAAAAAAACATTATAATATCATTATTATATGTTTTAAAAGCTCAGTAATTCTAATACCTACTGTGTTTAGTGGTGGAATTTAAATTGCTAAGTAGGTAAACTTTATAATAGAAAAAAAAAACCATTTAATTGCTGACCAGCCTAAGTAGGTTACAGTTTGTGTCAGCTGTAAAGAATCATTAGTATTGTGCATTGTGGTGGTCTACCAAATACTCCCCATCAGTTAGTTATCACTACAGACATGATTTAAGGGCAATGTGAGAAAATACTGCTGTTGTTTGTTCCATACAATAACCAGCAATGTAGAATCAATGATAATGAGAGCTGGCTTTGCCTTTCAGATTGTGCATTTGTCTTGTAGAGGTCAGTTTTCACATCATGAGTCATTTCAAAGAGAATATGCATAGCAGTTAGACATGACTGTAATTTTGCTAGTAAGTCTGTGCAGTTCTTTGAGGCTATTTTGTTGGGGGGGGGGCTTTCTGGACTGTTGAAGTTCTCCAGGCAAAGCATCACAAATTCATGTGTGTGTAAGAGCAGCAGTGAGACTATGTACAACAGGAACACTGTACGACAGGGGTAGTGGGAGTAGATGGCAAACAACAGACTGCTAGAAATAATGTGATGATTGCTATGGGTTGAGCAGAATTTAGGGCCCTGAGTCTGAGAGTAGCAAATGCTGTGGAATAGAGGTAGGTAGCATGCATAGACACTGTTGTACTGATGTTCCTCTAATTGGAGCAAGTCCTGCATCAGAGGAGAGGCATTGCAGTGGGTAAGAGCTTGTTCTCAGCAAACCTAGAAACAGTTGGATTTCTGAAAGGAAAGCCATGTATTAAAACAGAGAAAGGGCTGGGGATTTAGCTCAGTGGTGCCAACACTGTCCTCACAAGCACAAGGTCCTGAGTTCAACCCCCAGTACCAAAAAAAACAAAGAAGAAAAGAAAAACAGGGAAGTTCATGAGAGTAAATTTGGCTAGTTCGTGAAGGCACATTTTAAGGATCTTGAATGAATAGTGTTGGCCGGGTAACCAAGAGGGAACAATACAGAAAGGCAGTCACTGAAAAGTGCTTTGAATCCATTTCAGCTTGAGTTTTTTATAGGTGCACTGCATCAGCACAGAATTTACTCCACGGAAACACGGAGGTGAGAAGGGAGTGCCTTTTAGAATTCAGGTTGACACCTTTAAGCAGAATGAAAATGGGGAATACACTGACCATCTTCACTCGGCTAGCTGCCAGATCAAAGTTTTTAAGGTAAGAGTTGGAAACCAAGCTGTCAGTAATTAAAACTCAGTTGTGCTTGTAAAGCTTCTTGCAGCCTGATGAATTAAATCATCTACTTTGTTTTTAAGCCCAAAGGTGCAGACAGGAAACAAAAAACTGATCGAGAAAAGATGGAGAAGAGAACCGCTCATGAAAAAGAAAAGTATCAGCCATCATATGATACCACAATCCTCACAGAGGTAATGTGGTACAGCATTTGATTTTGGAAGAGAAGCAGAGGTTTGCATATTAGCACTACCTCTCAGATGTGTTTCATGACAAAGGGGTTGGGGAAGATTGGGTGGTAGGTTGAAATGATGTTCTTTGAGAAATTTGTGGGGAAATTGTGTATTTAAATTTTGGGATGTTTATGGATTAGTTTCTTGGGTGGGATCTTGAATGAAGATGCTGAAATCCCAATCAGGTCTCAGAAATAGACCTTAAAATCTTGAAGTTGACAAATGATTAAGTTGGGGCCTAGAATGTCCAATTTTTGTCACTGCTGGGGTTTTGCATTTTCTTTAACATTGAATCCTGTTAGTCATACATTTGTTTAATTGGACTGCAAAGACATGAAACAGGGTAATTAGATCTTTCTTTGTATAATAAAAAGACATTGATCCCAATCTTTGGTGTTTGTCCAGATGAGGCTTGAGCCTATAATTGAAGATGCAGTTGAACATGAGCAGAAAAAGTCCAGCAAGCGGACTTTGCCAGCAGACTACGGTGATTCTCTGGCAAAGCGAGGCAGTGTAAGGGACTTCTGCTTCTCTTTTCATTGTGCAAGAAACCTTGTGCAGTGTTAGATATAGGACCAACTTCCACTGAAAAGTAAAGCCAAAATTGTTTTTGATGTCCATGTCTTGATTTAATTTGCTTTTGTTTAGACTGCCTGCTTTCTGTTTGTTCCTCACTGAGGAAAATTTCCTAAATCTAACACTTTCAAAACAAAGCAAAACAATGTTGACCATATTGGGTGGTTTTGGAGGGAAAAAGACATTCAGAGATATGTGTTCCCTCCTTGTCCTCTTACCCCTTCCTCTCTCCCTCTTTATCCTTCACATGCACACTTCCTTCAAGAGCACTGAAATTAAGTGAAAATATTTTCATTATTAAAAGTTACTTTTAGATATAATTTTTATGTAATTAAAAGGTTTTGCTTTCTCACTTATATACCTGATAAAAATTTTTTAAATGATGGCAGCAAGTTTGACATTAACACTTGCAATACTCTATGTCACATTTCCCTGCATGCAGTATAAGATTGTGTGTCTGTCTATGCTTTTAAAAGCCTCGTTGGCAGCACTTATGGGAAAAAAAAATTGTTGACTGCATTAGTGTTTCTTCTTGGCACCTGCATTGTGACTTAATGCTTCAGGCCAAAGTAGTGCACCTCACTACACTTAGACCTGGATCTCCCAACAAGCCGCCAGGGGGCGCTTTGGGTTTAGTATGAATTTTGTCAGATAAAGTAGAGTGAATCTTCATCACATCACTCTTCATCTAACAGTCTACAAAGGATTATTCTGTTGTGTGAATTTAGATCAGCTATGTACCTTCAGTAAATATAAACATAGAACATTAAAAAAAAATTTAAATAACTGATACCATGTGTATTAATAAGTATTATTGAAGTGTTTGCACTATTAAGGTGCCAAAAAATGGATTTGTCACTCTTGGGCACAAATCTGTGATTAACTATAGACTCTGAAAGTCACTGTCACGGACACTATCACAGGAACCTTATTTACCATTTAAAGCGTTGAGTAAGAATTTTTTAAATGCTTCTTTATGCCATAAAGTAGAAAATGTACTCATCCTAGTACCGTAAGGAGCACACATACTACGTTTCCTTTAAGTTGGCTTTTTGGATTTAAATTAAAGATTGTTAGAATCCTTGACTATTCCGTTCCCAAAATGCCCACCTCTTCAATTTTATATTTTCATCCTCTTCTGATGTCCCAACTGAAGACCCACAGATATTCTTAGTAAATTTCTCTGGGGGTGAGGAATCCCAGCAACTGAAATTTTAGCTAATTTAAATAAATGGTTCTGGCAGTTCATAAAAACAAATCTGTTACAGCCCAGAGCTGATCTGAAGATGAGAAAGTTGTGATCAGTTATTAATGATTTTTAACTCCAGTCTAAAGTATGCAAAACGTCAGCAGTTCATTGGTCTGGGATTTCACATCTTCCTTGTGTGGTGTTTCCTGCCCTGGCTGTGTTGGTTTGGGCAAGATGCTTCTAGAAGTGGTTAGAGCTCATCTTGAAAACCTGTTTTAAAGAAGCAAGGGCAGATTGACCCCTTAGAAAAGAATGCCTGGAGCATTTCATATACATCTTAAATGTTTAAAAGGAAGGCCAACACTTTTTGCAGTTTTTGGACAGTTACATTTGTCTTTCAGAAGAGATATGTACTGTTAAAAATCTAAAGGTACTGGATAAAATGATGCCACATTACTACTGCTTCCCAGGAGATGCTGCACAACAAAACCTTTGGTGTATCTGTTGATCTTTGATTGGCTCACATTAAGGCTGGCAATATTTATCCCCTGAAGGGAGTCATCATTCTTTAATATGCTTGAGCAGCTACAATTTTCACAGTGTACTAAAACTTTAGGGGTCTAGGCCATTGCTGAACCTTTGTGCATTGTAGACTGTCTTCATAAACAGAAGCACTACACTATTGCTTACCTTTTTTCAACAGCGTACTGAGCTATGGGTGTACCTCAGTGGTAGAGTGCTTGATTAGCGTGTATGAGGCTCTGGGTTTGATTTCCCAGCACTGCAAAAGTAGAAACAAAGTAAAATAGTACTACTCTTATATTGCTAAAATAGTCCACGTGTGTAAAAATCAAATGGGTATGTACATGCTATGTATATGGAGTGTGAGTAAATTTTGCATCCCTGCCTTACTCTGCCGTACTTAACTTGAAGCTTTTTGATGACTTCATTTCCTCAGATAGCTGGCAATAATTACCAAAATGATTGGGGAGACATTGTTTAGTTTTTTGTTTGTTTTTTCTGGTACTAGGACTCGAACTCAGGACCTTGCACTTGCCAGGCAGGCGTGGTGCTACTAAGCTACATCCCTGGCCCTTTTTTTTTTTTTTTTTTAGTTTTTTGAGACAGGGTCTCACTATGCAGTTCAGGCTGGCCTTGAACTCAGTATGTAGCCCAGGCTGGCCTCGAACTCACGGCGATCCTCTTGCCTCAGCCTCTCCAGTTCTGAGATTAACAGACGTGCACCACCATGCCTGGCTAAGTATTTTTAATGTTAACCTATTTAGATTATTTTGATGTGCATTTTATCCTGTTACAATATTTTGTATCAGACAAGGAGGAGGGTGTAGCAACTCTTCCAAGGAGTGGAAATGACAGTGAGCGTGTGACACCTGAGTGATTAGGTATGTTAGTCAACTCTCAGTCTTGAATTCCTCAAACTCTGTAAACTGAGGAGGTGATACTTGATAATGGTGGAAAGAAAAACAGAGGCCTTAATTTTCAAAGAATAGGCATTGTATGAAAAGTCACTTACAGTGAAAATTGATGTGCCATACAATAAGTTTAGCAAAACTATTGGAAGTCAATTGATAATAGTTGAAACAGTGTCTGAATTGTTTTTTTCCCATTTTTGAGGGCATACATAATTGGATAGTGGTAAAGATTATTGATCTGGGGATTTCTGTTTTCTTCTCCTGTATCCATTCTTTTGATAGTTGTCATACAGATTTTAAGCCCCCTGGCCATTGGTGAGACTTGTTCCAGCCCTCAGGGTGCTTCAGAGTCTCTTAGCTCTGTCAAACCAGTGTTCTTGGCAGTTCCTATTCAGAAGAATTTTGAAGAAAGATATACTCCCTTGTACATTTTCAAGTTGACCTTTGAAAGGTCTCATCATAAATTTGAACAGTTGTAAAGGAGCCAGTTTTCTGGCATGATGAATATTTGTATTTATAATTTTTTAAAAATGGTGATACAGGGCTGGGGATTTAGCTCAGTGGTTCGCCACCTGCCTCACAAGCACAAGGTCCCAAGTCCGATCCCCAGTACCCCCCCCCCCCCATGGTGATACGGTAGGTCTCTGACTTTCCGGCTGTGAACTTTCACAGGTGTACTGTATAAGACCCACTTTGCTGGATTTTGGAATGAATCTGACTTACAAACGTTCTTCCAGAATGGAGCTTGTTTGTAAGTTGGCAACTTACTGTATTACTCTTTAAAGTATATATTGTGGATTCTAAATACCATAGAAATTGAAAATTTCATGATTGTCACTTAAATTCAGTTTACTATGCTCTTCTTTCTTGGTCTCAAGTTTGTATTCCACTCCCCTTAAATTTTATCCTAATGTGGGAGTTGGGTGTATAGCTCAGTGGTTGAGTGCCGGGAAGAAGGAAGGAAAGGGGAGGGGGGAGAAAGAAAATAAGGTTTTTTTAAAACAAAACTTACCTTAATGTGACATACTTTATATTTGAAAATCTTTAATCACCACTAATTACTTTACAATAAGCTTTTATAAATTGAAATTTAATTTAAAAAACTTTCTGTGTAAATTTCCATAATCTCTTAGTCAAATTAAAAACTTATTAGTAGTACCAGTTTATCAGTACAACAAAACATTGCAAATTTTGGTAAATTATTAAATAAAAAATAGAAATGGCATTGGTCATGCACCTTGAATAAAGAGACAGGCCAGAACATAAACTTTCAGATTTTTATATAGATGTGAGATGCCGGGAATGGTGGCGCATGCCTGTAATCTCAGCTCTCAGGAGGCTGAGGCAGAAGGATCACCACCGGTTTGAGACCAGCCTGGGCTACATAGTGAGTTCAAGGCCAGGCTGAACCTCGTAGCAAGATGCTATCTCAAAGCCACAAAAAGAAACAAAGATGTGAGAGACTTTGTTTTCTTTTAGCATGCCATTCAAGACTTGTCACTCCTTTTATATTGTCTGCCCAAAATCCCAGTGGTCTATCTTTTTAAATATCCTGTGTTCTAATAGAATATTTCGACAGCTGACATAGGTTGTCCTCAATTAAGTTGAAAGCAAAGAATTGAAAACCTTAGAGAAAAACTTTTTAAGTCATTAGAATTCTGTACTTTTAAAATTGTTTATCTGAATATCCTTTACTTGCCTTTGGAGCATCTTAAACCCCAGGGCTATGATTAGATGTGATGTCTTTTGTATAAAATGGGGGCAGGGTGATTATGAAAGGGGGGCGCCCTCAGCAGCTTAGTTGTCAAAAGAATACCTATGGAGTGAAGTGGATTCCCTCATTTCCTCGGGTCTGAAATTTCTATTTGAACCTGCCTACCCTAGCCTGCTCAGCATGCTTTTTACTTTGGCTCTTTTAACTCTCCTAATTGTAATAGTGTGTCTTTGTATCTTTGCTCTTATCTCTGGTCAGAATTTTGCTTGGAGCTGAAAACTTAGTTCACAATATCCCTTTCAGAAAATATAAATAAACACAAATGAGTGGTTGGGTAGATAGGTGGAGGTAGAGGCAGTACTATACATGAAGTAGTTTGATGCTGGGCCTGTCTGATCTCACTTGGGCGTTATTAATCATAAGAGATCAAGGAAGTAGATGGGTATTGGGAAGCCTGCCCCTCAGGGAAAAGAGCAAAGGGAGCAAGCAGTAAGACACAGATCACCATTGATATCAGATGTTGCTTATGAATCCTTTCTTGTCCCTGCTATTTTTAAACTTTGATAGGTGCCTATTGGGGAACTGACAAAGAGAATACTGGTAGAAAGGGAAGTGAAAGCTCTTGAAAGCAAATTACACTTAAGTATATATTTAAAATGTTTTTATAAATTTTTGCTGCTGTCATCACTTCAGGTCTTCTCTAAGATTAATCAGTGGCACAGAGCAGGTAAAATTTTTCTTTGCCACATGGTAAATTTGACATGTGTCTGCAAGGGTTGATAAGCTTCAGGTGTTCTGCATTTTATAATCTTAGGTTGATAGGACTAGAGACTCAATTACAAAAGTATTTCTTCCACATATTTAAAAAGTATGTCATTAATTTCTTTCTTTTTCTGTCCTTAGTGTTCTCCATGGCCTGACACCCCCACAGCCTACGTGAATAACAGCCCTTCCCCTGCGCCCACTTTCACTTCTTCCCAGCAGAACACTTGCAGTGTGCCAGACAGGTACCTGGTTTGCATGATCGCGCTCCCGCACCTCTGCCTCACTGGCCCATGCTCATGCTCCTTCAGCCCCTCCCTCTCCTACCGCAACCTCTGCTCTGTGTGGCTGAAGTGTATAGTGATGGGAAAGAGCCTGCCCTCAGTGTCAGAGCACAGCCACTCTTTCCTTCCCTTGCCAGACTTGGGGTCCAGCTCTGTGTACACCACACCTTCACAGCTATGGTAATTATACAAATGGGACCTTTTCAAGATAGTGTTTGTGAGACTAAAGACAATATTAGTAGGATTTATTTATTTATTTATTTATTGTACCGGGGATCGAACTCAGGTCCTTGCGCTCACGTAGCAGGCGTTGAAACCACTGAGCTAAATCCCCGGCCAATATTAGTAGGATTTGCAGGTAAAGATAGAATGAGTTGTTAAGATGAAACTATGACTTGAGTATGTTAAGATCACATTTACTACAAAGAACATTGGCCTTTAATGCTTACCATATCAGTTGGGTTATTTTCTGCCCTATCTTTTCCCTCTAGACAGACGGCACTTTAAAAAAAAAAAAAAAATTTGGTGCTCACTTTGGCGGCACATATATTAAAAAAAAAAAATTGTTTAAATCTAAGGAGCTTGGGATAGGAGTAAGACAGTAGTTTTTGAGGTGTCTGAAAGCTGCAGCAAGGTTCTATGGGGCTTTCCATTTCTGAGGACTTTGCTGGAGAAGTAATTCAGAGTGGTTGAGGTCAGAATTTTCCTGTTTTAAGGAAGTTTCTTACTGAAGAGGAAAATTACAGAAACTAAGACCACAAGGGAGAGGGTTCTCTTGTTAGAACTCTGGTCATGCTGACAAGGTTTGTTAAGAAAATAAAGTAATGCTTTTTCCCTGTGGTGATGAATGAGCTGGCAAGGCAGCTCATCTTCTTATATATTATTGTGCTTTAAGAGTAGAAGAATACAGACCTATGGTATGTTACTATGGAAGAGGTCTCCTCTAGTTTTCTGACCAGACTAGTCTGAAAACTCTTAGAAAATGACTGTGACCTTTAAGATGAGCTGTGAATTCATGTACCCGCTACCTTATTGGGTATTTCCTGAGAGCCCACTGTTGGCCCAGCACAGTTGTAGGTGCTGTGATGAAACATAAGTGACCAGACATACAAATCTTATTAGGAGGAGCTTAAGTTCAAGTGAGTTGAGAAGGACGTAAATAATCAACATAAACCTAAGTAACTGAGGAGCAGGTCCCAAGAATAGAGCCTGTACGAGGAAAGAGCCAGGAAGATAGATATTCCACATTCTCTGTGGGATTGTTTTCTATTCTCATTTTTCCTTAGAAACATAAGGATAGCGCTACAAGTTTCTTTCACCCTCTTTACTCATGGATATATGTATTAACATACTGTTTCTTGTGGCTCACTATTTTCTAAAAGTAGATTGTTCTGCAATTATTTTCAGCTGTTTATCTTACCTGATTTTCATGTTTTCTCCTAAGATGAATGAATATCCCTTTTCATTTTCTTGGCACCCCGTGTATAACTAGGGGAGTCTTTTTCACAGAACTTGAATTTCTCACTAGAACAGATAGAGAAGGCATGAGTTAAGGTGCAACCTCCCATGTGTCTTCATCTCATCATTCTGTTCACTGCTCACCTGTTGTGCTTGGACTCTTCTTGCAAACTTATAGAGATCTCCCCACAGTGTTGCCCTATTTTAATATTTCCCAGTTTTAATATTCTTTAATGTCTTGATTTTTAAAAATAATTATGAAAGTCATTCTTTCTTTTTCCTTTCTCCCCAGCAATTCTTCTTCCCCAAATCATCAGGGAGATGGAGTTTCACAGGTATCTGGTGAAGTAAGTGTCTTTTCTCTAAAACTATTGGATACTTTCAGGATCTTACATTTTAAAATTTCTGACAAGGGCTTAAGTCATGTAAGTTGCTGAATAGTCAGAATCATGTTCTTCTTGGGCGTTTTTTACTTCACTTTGAGGCTTTCTGTAAATTCCTTTTTTTTTTTAGTACCGGGGATCGAACTTGGGTCCTTGCGCTTGCGCAGCCTGCTGCGAAACCACTAAGCTAAATCCCCGGCCCAATACTTTTTTTTTTTAATACTGGGAGGGGAACCCCTATGCTAAGCAAGTGCCATACCACTGAGCTACATCCCCAGCCTTTGTTTAAATTACTCTTTTTAAAGTGCCAGAGACTTGTGTTCTTTGTTCAGTTTTAATGGTTTTATCTATTTATGGTCATTTTCTTTGTTAATAGCAAATTCAGCCTTCAGCTACACCCCAGGAAACACAGCAGTGGCTTCTCAAAAACAGATTCTCTTCCTACACAAGACTGTTTTCTAATTTTTCAGGTATGTCTGAGTGTCTTTGTGTGTTTTATTGTTGCTTTTTGTGTTTTTACTAACCCTGAGACTTACTCAATTTTTTTGAAATTATTATGTATGAAATTGTAAAACAAAATGGAGAGTCCTGTGTTACCTATCACCTAGTTTCCCTGTGCAGTAAACCATCGAGTTTCTCCAGACTTACTTGTATGTGTGTTTTATGCAATATTTTTCATTTTAACTTTATTTTGAAATAATTATTGCTTTATAATAAGTTGTAAAGACAGTACACAGGTGATTCAGTATACCTTCACTCAGTTTCTCTTAGAATTGTAGTAGAATATCAAAACCAGGAAATTGACATTTGTAATATATATATATTCATCATGTGTACAAATTTGTTACCACCACCACAGTTAAGATGCAGAATTAAGCCAGCATCAAAAAAAATCTGTCTCCACTACCCCTTTGTATCATATGCACACCCTTCTCCCCTCCAGTGAACTTTTCTGATTTTGTCATTTTGAGAATATTTCATAAATGGAATCATACATTGTATCACCTTTTGAGATTGGCTTTTTTCCTACTTAGCCTAATGATCTCAGGATCCACCAACTTGCCATAAGTGCCTGTCAGACGTGTTGCTCCTTTTTGTTTTGAAGTAGTTATTTCATACTGTGAGTATAGTCAGGTATGGGTTTTACATACAACACTGTCAGTTTTGTTCTCGCATAGTAAGTGGAAGAGGTAATTGGATAGAATTTTATTTTATTTTTTTGGTACCGGGGATCAAACTCAGGTCCTTGCACTTGCGCAGCAGGCGGCGAAACCACTGAGCTAAATCCCTGGCCCTGGATGGAATTTTAGAAGCGCTGAAATTAAGCAGTGCTGCCCCAGATGGTGCAGAAGGAGATCCAAGTTTTGTTTAGTTTTTAGTTTTTGTGGTACTTTACACTGAGCTATATCTAAAGCCCCTTTTCAATTTTTTATTTGGAGACAAAGTCTTGCTGAGTGCCCAGGTGGGACTCACACTTTCAGTCCTTCTGTTTCAGCCTCCCAGGTGCTGGGATATCAGGCATATGCCACTGCTCCCTGCTAGGAGACCTGTTTAAGGACAGTTGTAGATAAGCCAGATGGGGTAGGAGCAGCATTTTCCAAATATATTTGGCCCTAGGACTCTACTCCACAAAACAACTTTCATGTCCTGGTTAACATACCCCTGAGAAATGCTGGGTCACAGTAAAGTGCCAAGTGGCTTTTCTTTGTGGGATTGCGGGGCCATTGAAACAGATTTGTGTCCCCTTAGGGAACACAACATATGTGTATACATACCCATCCTGAAGGAAAGTGTGATTTCACAAAGAACATAGTTTTATGTTATATCATTTATTTCATTGTTCTTGCAGTTAGTAGTCATTTCCCTGTAGCTCTTTGTGTCTTTAATGTACCAGATGGAAGTCATTTGCTAGCTGGAATCCACATTTTTATATGATTAAAGCCTTTTTGTGTGAAAACCTACAAATTGTACAGTTCAGGGCAGGGGAGGGTGCCATCTTGAACCTTTCTTAGTAGGATAGGCACATAACATTGCCAGGTTGGAACTGAGGACACCCTCTGGTTACTCCTTGTATGTTAGATGTTTCTGCCTTGAGGATTCTAAGCTCTTTTCCCTCTGAATAGTGATCACATGTTTGGCCTCCTACCTTTTCCTTCACCTGTGTGCTTCCTCTGGAGGGGGCACGGGGAGCTAATTGTGGTGTCCCTATGGCATCACCTGAGTCACTGCACTGACAGCAAGAGTGAGGCCTCTTGCACTGAGCCTCCTGGGCACTCATGTATCAGGAAGGATTGTGCTTGCAAGTATTTAGTTCTCTTTAAGTGTTAAGGCTGCACACACATGCACATATCTCTGGTCACAACTATAAGCACTGCTTCAGAGGTATGTATAGCAAGCCCTAGAAGAAAGATAAGAGAGCCTGTTTCTCTTTTATCTGACTCCATAAAATGACTCCATCAGTGTTTCATGTCTCATGGGAGTTTTATTTCTCTGGTCACTTTTTTTATTGTTGTTATTTTTTAAATTAATTTTAGTGGTACATTTTAGGTATACAATATAATGACATTCATCATTGGAAATTTGTACCTTTACATAATCTATCTTGGTTCTTTTTTTCTTTTCTCTTTTTCGGTACCGGGGATTGAACTCGGGACCTTGTGCTTGTGGGGCAGGTGGCAGAACCACTGAGCTAAGTCCCCGGCCAGATTTGTTCTTTTTTTTTTTTTTTAAGTTTATTGGTACATTTTAGGTATACACTACAGTTACATTCATCATTGGGATCTTGTACCTTTACACGATGTATCTTGGTTATTTTTTCCCTATTCCCCTGTCCTCCCTTCACTCCCTCTGGTCACTTTCATAAACAAGAAATTTATTAGGCTCTCACATTCAAGTCCTGATCTTGTTAAATTCAGAAGTAGACATATATCATATGGAAGTCATGCATTCATCCCAAAGATCATTCTAATTTTCCCCAGAACTGCATCTTGGGGCCAGAGAATGTAGCTCAGTGGTAGAGCACTTTACTAGCATGTGCAAGGTCCTGGATTCAATCCCCAGGATTGAAGAGCAGGGGGGAGAGGGGAGAAAGGAAAGAGGGAGGGAGAAAAAGAGAATCAAAGCATCAAACTGATTCTTAACTATTAGAAGAAGTAAAAACAAGAGATTATGGACCCCTTCAAACATAAGCAGAAGGACTATGATGAACTCCCATGTAGCCACCGTCAGCTTCAAAACTGATCAATCTTTGATCAGTCTTCCTCTCTACTACTTCCCCTTCTACCTTCTGTTGTGTTTTAGGGTGATTTTCTTTTTTCTAAATGATTTTAACAGGGTCTAAGTTTATACCTTTGGTTTATTAGATAATGATATGGATTCTTTTTTTTTTTTTTTTTTTTGGTACCGGGGATCGAACTTGGGACCTTGGGCTTGCAAGGCAGGCAGCAGAACCACTGAGCTAAATTCCTGCCCCTAAAGGTGATATTTGCAGTTACCAGATATTTACAGGGGTAATGTGAATAGTATGTGATTCTCTGCCACGCTTTCCTATTGAGACTGGCTGCTATGACAGAGTTGTTACATTACAGAATGTATTTTGTGACATTGCATCTTGCAGTATAAAGAGAGCCAAGCCTTCCTCTATCAACTCCATATGTGACTTTGGGCAAGTTCCCAAAACTATATAGAGTTCCATTTCTTCTTTTGTAAAAGAAAAGAAAAGATCCACTGTTCCAGGCCATCTCAGGTTTTATCTGGGTTCAGAATCACATTTAGATAGCCACAGGTACTAGGTAAGGTGAGAGCAGTAGGATCTGTAGTAGGAACAAATAAATCGTATAGGCCCTGCTCATGGATTTCATTTACCAGTTTCTGGGTGTCTAAGCTCCTTGATACAGGACACTGAAAAGCTAGCATTTTCTTGGACTCTGAGGGACAGGTGTGCATGTGTATCTTCGTGTGTTCTCACATATGTATGTATATTCAGGAGGTGTGTTGCCCTTTAGAAGGATGTTTAACCATGTAAAGACACGTGCCTGTAAAGCAGTCAGTTATATCTGTTCTTTTTCCACTTATTTGAGAAGAATCTCTGCTCTTCTTCAGGTGCCGACTTATTAAAACTGACAAAGGAGGATTTAGTTCAAATTTGTGGTGCAGCCGATGGAATTCGGCTCTATAATTCACTGAAGTCAAGGTAAAATACTGTGGACTGTTTCGTGTGAAGTAAGAGCATACCTGTCTCGCGTGGGGGGTTCGGGCAGAATGTGTTTCCACGCTAGGTTGGCATGTGCCTATGTGCGCCGTCGAGCATCGGCAGTATCGTGCTCACAAGAAGACTGTTTTGTGTACACCTTCAGGGCAGGCCCAGATATGATGCAGGCACTGAGAGGGCAGAGGTAGACTGTAAGACTGGTAGCAAAGCACATGGGCAGTACTGAGTTCTTGAAGACGACTGGGTTTGTTGCCAAGAAAACAAAACTACTAATTTAGGTGAGCTCTACAGAATCTATGGTTTTCAAGGTCGTGACTATTATTAAACAGTTATTAAAAATGTAAACTTCTAATTGTGAATTAAAATAAGAATTGTAAATTGCTGGCTTTTAAGATTCATTTACTATCCATTGTTATTTTTAGACTTGTGGTGTGAGAATTCCATTAAAATCGAATCTTACTAATTTTAAATTGCTTGCTTAATCTTGAAACTTAAATTTACCAGCATCTGACAGACCATCTCAATGGTTTAGAGTCTGGATCATCCTATTAGACCACCTGTGATAGTTGGTGTGAGGTGTGTGGTTTTTATATTTTTATTAGTAAATTATTTTGAATAATGAAATAACATTTGTAAAGTTCTCTAAAGGAACTAGAACTTAGACTCCTGTAGTGGTCATTTGTACATGCGTTAAGGCAGCTTGCACACTAGGCTCACTAGTGGCTCTTTTGATTGCAGGTCGGTTAGGCCGCGCTTAACCATCTATGTCTGCCAGGAGCAGCCGAGTAGCACACCGCTGCAAGGGCAGCAGCAAGCTGCAGGCGGTGGAGGCGAGAGTGGCAGTGGGACACCCTACGGTGGGTATTGAGGGCATCTCACTTCTCTGTTCCTTCCTTTCTGAGACTGTCAGAAACTGAAAGGACTTGAACAGGGCTTAGGAGAGCTCCTGCCATGTGAGGACTGTGTTAGGACCACCAAGTGGCTGATAGTGGAGTCTCAGGACAACAGTGGGGACAGCAGCTCTTGGGCCAGGTCCCCGGGAAAAGAGGAAGCTAGCAGGTTTTCTCAGTTATTAGCCACTCTATGGACCTCTTTTTTTATATGGTCCTTCATGTCCAAAATGCTTATCTTAAATGCTTTGAGATTTTTGCTTGCTTTTCCCTCCCTTAAATGTCAGATTTTCTGAAATGATGAATGTAACATTGGTGGCTTGACAAGAAAACAGGAGTATTTTTCTTTTCTCTCCATTTTACTAACTGACCAGACTCCCACTCCCTACCCCTTTTGCACAGTGCTAGGGATTGAACTCAGGGCCTTGCAAGTACTCGACCACTGAGTGCACCTTCTGTCCAGAGGAAACTCTTAAAAACTTAAAAGATACCACATATTTGTGAAGATGCATCTGAGTCACAGTCCTAAGTGTACAGACTTGTCTCAGATGTCTGCCAGCACAGCATGAGATGGGTGTGGTGCTGCATCCTTGTGCCATTGTCAGTGCATTCATTATTCACCATCTGAGCATTAGGAGATCCTCATCTTGAAGGTTTTTCTTAATTATACAGTGTAGTGCTATATTAGTATAGATATAAAAAGTCTGACCCCTCCCTCATCTGAGTATGGTCTTTAAAATTAAGCAGGTGTGGTACAGTGATGTACACTTGTAATTGTGCTACTGGGGGCTGAAGCAGGAGGATTGAAAGTTTGAGGCCAGCCTGGACTACTTGGTGGAACCCTGTCTCAAAATACTACAGAGAGTTAAAGCTCAGTATTAGAGTGCTTACCTAGCATGTGCAAGGCCTTGGGTTCAATCCTCAATACTGTACAAAAAATCTTTAGGGCTCGGGGTGTGGTTCAGTGGAAGAGTACTTGAGTAGCGTGCTGAGCTCCTGGGTTTGGTCCCAAGCATGCGTGCGCTCACATGCACACACACACACACTCACGTGTAATGGACTGACCCTTTAAGTGACTCCTGTTCCACGGAGAGTGATACTCCTTTAAACCACCTGGGTTATCCAGGGGCCAGGGAGTTAGCTCAGTGGTTCCGTTGCCTGCCTTGCAAGCTCAAGGACCGGAGTTCGATCTCTGGTACCAAAAAAAAAAAAAACAGGGTATCTGGAAAATTAATGAACAGGAAGAACTTTTTACATATTGGAATTCTAGCAGCCTCTGCTTACTAAAACTCAGTTGATTTTGTTTTATATCTGGTCTTTTGTTGTTAAGTAATCATTACTGTTGATATCAGAAAATTCCCTAAGAAGATCAAAATAATCAGCTGACAGGAAGTACTGCTATTTCCTGGTTTCTCACTAGCCTGCCTACCATATAGGCCCACAACTCATCACCCTGGCAGGTTTTTCATAGCTTTTTTATACTTCGTTGTACAAAGGGAATATCTCTGCATGACAGATTATGACATGGTAGACATTTCACTTTTATAACAAGTAATACAAGGACTAATATATTTTGAAAATATTAGTATATTTAGTATATTAGTATACTAATATTTTGAAAATGAAATGCTGGGAAGTGTTTTTAAGAACTTAAAGTAGTAGCTCGTAAAGGTGTGGGTGGCTTTTCTAATTAGTTGTTTTGTCAGAACACAACGTATGTTACACCTCAAAACTAGCTCAGCTTCAAGCCAACACCCTGGCTGGGACTTTTTTGTAAGGAAGAATCAGACTTCACTGTTTCTATTCTAGCTTTTCACTTGGTATCTTCTGCATTATTTTTAATTTAGGGGATGGGGCTGATACAGAGAGCTTTTATTCCTTAGGATAAATTCATAGTAGTAGGATTACTGGTCAAAAATTATCACCCTTTTCGGGTTCTTTTAAAAAATTTGTAGAAATACAAAAATACATATTTTTAAAAATTTTTCTTCAGATATTTACCAGAAAATCCTCCCATTGCATGTATACATCTCAGTGGTACTTTTGATAAATGCACAGTTTTGTACCCACTGCCACAATGCAGTTCGAGTTGCAGTACTCCAGAAAGATCCCCCATGTTTGCAATCCTTTGTTGTTGCAGGTCCCCCCGCCCCCCTACCCAGGATCAAACTCAGGACCTTGTGCTTTCAAGGCAGGCATGGTGCCACTAAGCTAAGTCCCCGGCCCTTGTTGTGGGGTTTTGAGATGCTAGGATTGAAAAACTTCATTTTTCAGTTTTGAATACCTGAGTTCCATATTCCATAGTCATTGTGGAAAAATAGAAGTAAAAATTAAAACCTCAGATCCTTCTGTACAGGGATTATCACTTAGTGTTTAGTACATTATATGTAAGAGTGACAAATAATGTATTCTTTTTTCAGGTGCTACTTAGCGATTTTAAAATAGTAAGGAAGAAATGTTAATTTGTTCCTATTCATAAATTTTGAATTTTATTTGATACTTTTGAAAGGTGTACTCTACCCAGAGATCAAGTAGAACACAGATAAAAGGTTATTGGTAAAACACTGTTCTTTTTTCTTTCAGTTTATCATGCAATCTACCTGGAAGAAATGGTTGCCTCAGAAGTTGCTCGAAAACTTGCGTTGGTGTTTAATATTCCTTTCCACCAAATTAACCAGGTTTACAGACAGGGTCCCACTGGTATTCACATTCTTGTTAGTGATCAGGTAAATCAAGCAGGCATTTCCTTTTGCACTGATACTTACTTTTATACAGATGATTGTAGAACTGTAGAAAAATTCTGTGACCTCTTGCAAATAATCATGAGCATTGGGGATCAATGTTTGTTAAGAATTTATAACCAGGAGTTTCAGGCATCCTAATGATAATAAAGAGTACAAGCCAGGGAAAACTGACTTGGCCTCCTCCCAGTTTTTAATTTAGACACTTATCAGGGGACTCAAAGGTTAGTGGCAGACTCTGGCCCTTTTTGAGGTATTGAATATGTTCTTTTGTCCATTATTTGACAACTAACCTTAAAAAACAGGTAAAGTCGAAAGTATGACTTTGCCCACCCCAGTGTTCAGTGACAAGCAAGTAATAATAGTAGAGTGCTTTGCACAATTTTTGTGAGAGTAGTTATTCACAGGTCCAGCAGCACATGCTTCCAAGGGGCACATGGGTAACTGACCAGACCTCTCGGGGACTATCCCGGCAGGCATGGATTAGCCCAAGACCTTGCCATTGCAGTAGGTATGAGTATTTACCGTCTCTTGCCTTTCTGAATTACTATTTTGGCCTCTGAATCCTGTACTTGTGCAGTAACAACATATAGATTATGATATTTTCTGCTACTGTTTTACATCATGTTTAGTCAGCTAAGAAAGAATAGTTGGATCTTAATAATACTTACACATCTGCTTTATTCTTCTAGATGGTTCAGAACTTTCAAGATGAGAGTTGTTTTTTATTCTCCACAGTAAAAGGTACTTTGTATGTGTCTGTCTTGAAGTGCTGGGCTCAGGAAAGATAGTGTGTACCTGTAATTAGTAGCCATTTTGTGTGCTTACTCTTGAAAATGCTGCCTTTACTAAGAAGACAGTTTGAAAAATCAGAAGAGTATTTCTAGTGATTGTTAATAACACTAGCAAATGCAGAAGAGGAGTCAGTCTTTGATGAGTAAAAGAAAATCGATTCATCCAACTGACATTTTATTGAGCACTTTGTGTCACGCACTGTGATTCTGGTGCTCAGTGGGTCTTTTATTTATTTTTGAGATGGCGGTCTTGCTTTGTAGTTCAAGCTGGTCTTGAACTTGAGGTGATTCTCCTTTCTCAGCCCCGACTGCTAGGATTACAGGCGTGTGTCACCATGCCCAGCTCAATGGGTCATGAACAAAATGGTCCAAGAAATTTTCCACTCTAGTGGAGAAAAACCAAATTTGGCCACAAATAGACCAAATTACCAGTATTTGAAACGAATAGCAACGTGTGGGGTGCTTATGGAGAAGGGGCATCTGGGCTGGAAGTTACTACTACCTGTTCCACCGCAGCCCAGATATCCCTAGAAGGCTTCTCTGAGGTGGTGACTTGAAGAATGAGCTGGCCACAGGAGTGGTGTCCCAGTGCAGTAAGGAAAGCACTTGGCTTCTGTGAAGGCCTGGGAGAGGGCCATATAGCTGCTGTGCAGCTGTGTGCAGTGTGTGAGGGCGAATAGAGCAAGGCAGGGTTGAGGCTGCACGCAAGGTGTGGTGTGCAGGGGTAGTGATGATGGTAATTTGGATTTTATTTGAAATGCTTTGGAAGGTTAGTAAAGCTGTTTGTACAAAGGAATAATGTAATTAGATATTTTTTTTCCTTACAACTCTGGAGACAGATAAGGTGCTGGCAAAACTGGAGGCAGGAGATACCATGCAGGTGAAGGGTAATGGGACCCTATGGATTTATAGAAAGGGCCTCTGATTGGGCTCACATTTGATGGAGGAGGAGTTGTGATTATTGTTTTTTTGTTGAGAGTGACTGGCATGTAGTAGTCTCGTTAAAGAAAAATTGGGACAGAACAATAGTTTCATTTTAGTTATGTAGAAATGTCAAGTCATCAGTAAATTGTACCATTCTGGGGCCTAGTTAAAGAGGCCTGGGCTTGACATATAAATTTGAAAGCCTTCAGACTATTAACAGTGACTAGAAGCTGTTCAGGTTGTTAAGGTCATTTAAGGAGACAGTCCGGAAAGAGGGCCCAAATGGGGCTCAGATGAGTGCTGTTAAAGGGTTAGAGAGAGGATTATTAAAGGCGCTATTTGAAAAAAGTCAGATAGTTTAAGAACCAGTGTTAGCACAGAAATTATGCCTATATGAGGAAGATGTCATGTGTCGCCTTTTCCTAGTAGTCACTCTTGAAAGGAGTGCTCCAAACAATGTTGAAATTATAATTTCCCTTTGGGCCTGATGTTACATGCCATCAAGTTATCTGCAAGGCTGAATTTTGACTTAATTTGGCTTACTTTCACTTTCAGAAATAGCTTTAGTTCAGTACATTTCTGCAAAATCTTTTGTTCTCAAAGCTCACCTTTTACTTTGCAAATTTACATTGTCTAAAAAGGAAAACTCATAATGTGTTCTCTACAATATTCTGGTGTTAAACATAGGATTTCCCCTCCAATATTAGTGGGCTGTTTCTCAGACTTTGTTGACTTGTAAAATTTCATTTGTCTGTGCATTTACTGATTCTCATTGTTTACTGAGGCCCTTGGGCAAAGATCTTATTTTTGTTTTCTGGTGCTAGAGATTGAGCTCAGGGCCTTATGCTTGCTAATAAACAAGTGCTGTATCTCTGAGCCACACTCCCAGCCTTGTGATTGAGATATCTATGTCTATATATCTGTATATAAAGATACTGGTATTTCAAATCTATCTCTGAGGCACTCACAAGTCTTTCCAGACGAGATAGATGTGCACATCAACAGTCACACCCCTCGGTTATTTGTGTATTGAGTACAGGGTTGGCTTTGCCCTCTCTCAGTGTTTTCATATGTTCTGCTGCCATCTCTTGCTCTTCCTCTTGGTTACAGTGCAGAACTGGCAAGCAGTGTGGGCACAGGGCACCAGTAGAATAGCAAGTCTTCAAAAAGCAGAATTATTGTGTGGGCCAGCTTTTCTGCTGCAGGGACAAAATACCTGACATCCACAGGGGAGAGGTTTGTTGTGGCTCATGGTTTCAAAAGTTTTATCCTGTGGTTGACTGGTTCCAAGGCAGAAACCTCATAGCAGAAACCCTCGGCAGGGCAGAGGACACCTGCTGTCCTCATGGCAGCCAGGAAGGGGACATGGGAAGAGCCAGAGAAGGAGCAGCCACGGACCAGATACAGTCCCCAAGAACACTTGTGTGACCTAGCTAATCTCTTAGGCATCTCCCAAGCCAGTCAGACTGACATTCAAGATTAACCATCACAGTGTCTAAAAGGGGAATGTGGATGCGAAGTCTTAAAATCTAGAGTTCCTGGGCGTAGTCGTGCACGCCTGTAATCCCATCACTGGGACTAGTGAGTTCAAGGCCAGGCCAAACTACACAGTGAGACCCTGTCTCAACCCCCCTCTCAAAAGAGGTATTAAATACGTTTTTTTCCCCAGTATTTTCTGTAATATTAAAGTTAACTTCTGAGTTGGGTGGAAGGTTGCAGATTTCAAGAGTTTTTAACACGCTTGATTTCCTAAGACTGGTTAAAAATTTTTAACTTTTTTTGCAGCTGAAAATAATGATGGTATCCACATAATCTTGAAGTGATCTCTTACATAGATTGAACTATATTCAGTACCAAATAAAGTCACACTTTAAACGTGTGTGAAGACTGAATCCAAGAAGTCTTGGGATTGGATTTTACTGAATGAAATGTTTCATATTGAAAACACAAGATGACCTTTCTTACGAGCTGATATGCGAGGCAGACCTCCTCCCTGTCATAGCTGAAGCCCAGCATTCTCATGAGAGCGAGCGGATCGGGGCAGCTGTATCCAGCTCTGGAGGCCGTGCTGCAGGTGCAGCTTCGTGCTTCTGGCGGAAGCCAGTCCATGTGGTTCCCAGAAGCTGCCTTTGTTGGCTCCTTACACTGTATGTGGTTTGGAAATGAATGTAGAAACTTACTGTGGGCATTTACTTTCTGGGCCAGTTTGGCTTCTGTTGCCTGAACCTAACACAGACCTGGGGAGGAGATGGGGGACAGGGCTACTGTGGAGCCAGAATGGAAAATGTCTCAGAGACGCTGTGCTGATGTGGCCTTGGTGGCCCGGTAAGCGGCTCGGCGCCTTCTTGTAAGGAATCATGTCTAAGGGTGTGCGTCTGATGGGATCATGGCAGACCAGGGAAGACTCAAGCCAGGAAGATGGGCTTTGAAGCTAACTGCATTATCAGGAGTACCTTGGTAAGAGGATCATTGTAAATCCTAATAGGTACAAAGACTTGTATTTTGCTTTGTCACTGATTTATTGAAAAACTTCTTTTGCTTCTGCTTCCGAAAGCATTTTAGTTTCTGGTTTTCCTACCCCTCCTGTGGTTTTCTGTCTCATTTTCCTCCCCTTCTCCATCTTTGGTCCCCTCTGTTCTTAAGTGTTTTTAAAAGCCCTGCCCTAGATGTTGGAAATTGGTGACATAAGAAGGGGTGACAAAGTGTTGTTGATAACTTCTGACTTGGTGTTAAGGGATCTGTTTTGAACAAGATTAAAATCCATGAGAACACTTAAGTGTCATAAACACTAAAATACCATAAAAATCCGGTTTGTCTCACTTCAAATAATGAGCTTCAGTACAATCATGGATAAACATTTTGGTGATTTAGGAGCTTTTAATACACCAAATAATGGTTTCTTTTTCTGTAAAATAGTGTGTCTCAAAATCAAATGTGTGTCTGCTAGCATACTTTTTTTCAAAGGGAATCTACTATTTTCACTTTTTCCTCCTACTGCCTTTATCGCCTTCACCCAAAGCATCCCAGAATTCATTAGAAAGCATTTTTGAAGCCAGTGGTATATCAAGACTGAATTTTTTTAAAAAAACAAACTTTTATTCCATTTTAATTATAGCATCTCTGTCCACTTGGCAGTTTTAGCTTTGGATGTACTATTTGATCCCCATCCTTGTTCAGGTGGAAATAGGAACGATTAAGTTTGGGTTCTCTCCCAGGTGACAAAGCTCCTTCAGTGAGTAAACGCTTTCCTATTCATAAAAGTGGCTAATGACTCGCTACAAAGAAGCACTGTCTCAGTAGCCAGGTTTGGAAATACCTGTGACTCCTACAGACCTGTAGGAGGAGAGCTTGCCTTTTTGGTCCTCCCTTTGTTTTTGTGTGACCATGTTTTCTGTAAGTCACTTGGGAAAGAAGTGAACTTCCCTTAATTGTTTTAGAAAGTTTTGCTTGTCTATTTAGCATTCTTTTTTGGGACTCATGATTTATGGAACAGTAAATGTCATTGAATGCTGTGTGCTATTTGAAATCCTTACCGGGTTTTAGACGTGGGATAAAAAATATTTACAAGCTTATCAGATTTGAAATTACACCCAGTGGCATTAGAACATTATAGTCTGTCCAGAGAAACAGGTTAAATAAATCATGGCACCAGCAAATTTGCTACTTTGTTTTTTTAATAGTAGGATGTACACATTTCAGTATAATAAATGTTTTCCGATTGTTTTGCAAATTGTGTCTCATTTAAAATCTCAGTTCTTGCTTATATCACAGAGTCAAAGGATTCCCTGTGTATGCCCCAAGCCTATCCCTGTCCAAATGTTGTAAGAGAGTAGGCTCCTGTGGTTTTCCCTTTTTTCAAAGCTAATGTAAGGATAGGTTTTTCCAGGAACTGTTCCGTACTTACAGAGGAAGCAAACCTGGCTTTCTTATAAGAGGTTCTCCTATTTTGTAAATGCTGTCATGGATCATTGGGCATCAAGTCCAGTACCTGTGATAGGCTGTGTCCTAGCTCAGAGATATTAGAAGACTCTGGTCATTAATTTTTTTATTAGAAATTAATCCATAATCATTGAAGCAAGTCTGTTATGTACTCATTTGTCTACTTAAGTGGCTTCCTACATTAGTCACCTTCCAATTGGCAGCAGTGGTATAAATGTTTAAAGAACTATGATAGTCATACAAGTTTATGATCAGAGAATACTAGAGTATGTCAGAAAGCAATAAAACCAGTCCTTTAATGATTACTCTGATAATATTGCTAGGTCACTGTATGGAGGTATGTATCTGCCTTCTCTATCTAGAATGCAGCTGAGACAGTGTCCTTAACTGTCCATAAAGTCATAGAAAACATCTTGTTTTTGCCGTTTTATTTCTCATTGAGTTCTTGGCCCTTCAGTTTGGGTAGTGGTTGCTAGGAATGGTCAGCCACCATTAACACCCCAGTTCAGTGAGGGTGGTGATGGGTTCCTCATCTTCAGTAATGATCACAGATGTGGACTGGACAGAGCAAGAGTCCGCCACAGCAGATAATAGGTCATCTCATAATGTTAGGAAGGTTCGGACTTTCGCTCAAATTTGTCTGCCATAAGATAATAGCAATAAAAAACCTTTGACTTAATTCTATTAAACACTGCAGTGATTTACACTACAAGTCTAAAAGGTGCCAACACTTTACTGATCTGAGTCTGATGTGTGTAAAACTTGAATAGTTTTGGTGTAACTTGATTTCTAAAATTTTAAAATAAACTTTTAAAAAATCACATCCATTTTTCATGCATCTATTCATTATTTTTAATAATATTATAAGTTACTTAAGCCTTAATTGTATTTCTGCAAGGTTCCCCAAATTTGGTGAGAAGTATAGACATAATTAGCTTTTTCCTTAAACAAAAATGCATTATGTGCTGTAGCATATGCCAGAGCTTAAAATTTCCATTCAGCCAATACAAACTGAGTTTAATTTTTGGTCCTTGGAGGTGGTTATGACAAGTTGACACAAACAGAAAGGTAAAGACTCCACTCTACCCAGTTTACAGTCCTCTTCTTTGGTGTCTCATGGAAACTGATTAATATGCCTTCCACATTAGCGGCTACATATAAAATTATCAGGTGTTACGAATTTGTAATAACAGTCATTTTGATAAAGTTATTTAATCTTCAAAGTGAAAAAGTCCTGCTAATCGAAATGGAATCATTGTGAATTAAAGTAGCCTGTTGGCTTAAGGATCAGGTGAAAATCAGGTTATCTTTTCTGCCCAATTTGTGCCAACACTGATGGCCTGTTTGAGGAATGCTGATAAAGCCAAGGGTGGGACTTGTACATAGATACCCGCCTCTGAAGGGGCCCGGGTTTCTTGTGTGGTCTTGGCTTCACTGAGATCGCTCTTGCCACATGTTAACTGTCACAAGCCCTTGATTTGACTGCATCACAGCAGAACAAAGGTGCCAACTGTCACCAGTTAACTGCAATCCATATCAAAGTCTTTTACCTGTAAATGCCCTTTCCCAAGGGAGAATCAACAGATTTGGGTGACAGTGGAGTAGTCAGGAAGACTGGTCTTCTCTAGAAGAAGAGACATTTTATTAACTTGGGCCTGAGCAGCTGGTGTCAGAGAATGACACAGCACCTGCACAGTCGCTGTCCACTTCCTGCCACTGCTGTTGGTGGAATGACAGGAGCGAAGTAGGCGTGGACTTTGACATGAGGGAGTTGAGCCTGGAAGTAGAAGGAAAAAATGGAGTAGTGCTTACCCTGATATTTTAAGGATTATGGTCGTAATACTCAAAAAGCCTGTAGTTCTCACTTAGAATCTACTTCACCTTAATGTTAGGAGAGAGTTCTAACTGAACTAAAACTGCTGCAATTACATTCTCATACCTTCCAAAAAATCCAACCTCAGTACCTTCTAAAGACAAATGGAATCTCATAAGGTGATACATTTCCGTCCAGCCTTTTTTTTGGTTTGGGGTGCAAATGGAAACATGCCTACACTTAAAATGATGTAGGTGAAAATAATACACAGAACAGAGCCACATTGTGTTAACACGCTCTTAACCAGAAACTAGCCAACACTGTTCTACCTCTCACTGGCAGTGAAGTGACCTTAAGTTGCCTGCCCTGGACAGAGACCTTCCTTATGTGGGTGCTGATTACCTGACTACATGGGACTTCCACCTTAAATGACTCATGTGAGTTGAATCTTCCAGAGTGGGGTCTGAGCAGTGGAATTTTAAAGATGACATCTGTGTAAACCAGATCAGTTTGCCCACCTGTTGGCTTAGGCTAGAACAGAAAATAGATTCCGATCCCTGATGTATCCTTTGTTGCTTAGTAGTTATGCCAGGTGAGACCCACCCTCCTGGCGCACACCTACCCGCATCCGCTTGATGCCTGCGCGAGTGACCTGCTGGCAGTCATACAGCTCAAGGCGCTCTAGGCCACGGCAGTTCTCCAGGTGCTCAAGGGCCACGTCAGTGATGAGGCAGTTATCCAACTCCAGGACCCTCAGCCTCTTGTGGCCACAGGTGCTGTTGCTGAGGTGCAGGATCCCATCATCTGTGATGAGCTCACAGTGGGACAGGCTCTGAAACAGCAAGATGTTCGAAGAACACTCATTCCATGGCTCCAGGCCTAGTGAAAGTAGGGATCCTAGCTCATAAAGCATCCCAGAGTAAATGCTGTTGTGTTTGAAAACATCCCTTAAAAAACAGATGCTGGAAACTAATCCCCCATGCAACAGTGTTGAGAAGTGGACTGTAATGGGTGTTTTAGGTCACAGTGCCACCGGCATGAATGTATTAATGCCAATTATAAAAAGGGATCCAGGCTGCAAGTTTTCTCTTTCCCCTCTGCCCCTTTGCCCTTCTACCTTCCTCCATGAGATAACACAGCAAAAACACCCTCACCGGATTGCCAGGCTATCCTTCCAGCTTTCAAACTTAAGAAATTTCAGTTTATTGGGTACCCAGTCTGATACTCTGCTGCAGCACAAAATGGACTAAGGCATTGCTGAATCAGGCGAGGATCAGACAGCCTTGGGGCTCTTTGGTCATGGGCCCCAAAGCTGCAATGAGACAATGGGGTTTTGTTTTGTTTTTTCACCTTTTGGCTAAAAAGATGAAATTTTTAAGAGTTTATATCCTTGAGCACAGTTTTAATGTCTAATTCTAGGTGGAAGCTAGTGAATGATTCTAATGTCCTCCGTTGAGCAAACAGCCATGACTCAGATGTGTACTGAGCATCTCTGAAGGATGCATAAGATAATTCAGATCAATATAGACAATATAGTTTCTTTTTTTTGGTACCGGGGATCGAACTCAGGTCCTTGTGCTTGTGAGGCAGGTGGTGGAACCACTGAGCTAAATCCTCGGCCCACTGACAATATAGTTTCAGATATGATAGTTTCCCTCAGTACATATCAAATACAATATTCAGCCTAACAAAATCTCTTCAGAGGCAAAAGACACTGCATTAAGTTCCTGTCATTCATTTTATCCCTCAAATACACCAAGTTGGGCCAGGTGTGTTGTGTGCAACGGCAAGGAAAAATACCCTTTTGTGCAGTGGTAGAGCCCAGAGTATAGTGTTGAGAAATGAAATCACACTAAGTAAACAAACTGATGCTGAAGAGAGGCTCAGCGAGCATGTCATAGTGGGATTTGACTTGAGGGAGAGACTACTGAGTTGGTATCTGAAGTAATGATGAGGGGCTAAGAGCTTATGAGCAAGGCTGGGAAAGGAAGGGCACACAGGAGAGTGGTAAGCAGAGTTTGGGAAGAAAGTCAGCATCATTTGGTTAAGAGTATGCAGATGGAAACAGGTAGGTTGGGCCAAGATGAAAGAGCCATGCGGGCCATATAAGCAAATCTTATTTTTATTCTAAGTAGTTAGGGATGCAATGTTACATGTTTTTCAAAAAGAAAAAGAAAAAAAGGGGGATCAGCATCACTGCACAGAATAATTAAGATGAAAAAAGATGGAAAGTTAATGTTGGTAAGGATGTAGAGCAACTGAGACTCAGATTGTAAGGGCAATTTGGATATCGGACTACAGTACATGTATGTATTAACTGAAAAGCATAACAGTTCTGGTTCTAATAGCCCTGAACTAGAAAACACTAAAGTCTTCAACAGTAGAAAAAGTAAATAAATTAGTATGTCTATTCAGTAAAGCAAGCAGTGAGGATGAATAATGTACAGCTGTACACAACAATATGGATGAATTTATACATTAATTAGTGCTAAAAACAGACAAATGAGTACATTCATTCACTAACAATTTCAACAATTAAAATGCAAAATTTTAAAAAAACAGGAAAAGCTAATAAATGTTACTGGAAGTCACCACCCTTGAGTTAAATGAATGGAAGGGAGCTTTCTAGGATCATAGTAATGTTGATAGTTAATCTGGGAATATTGTTTATGGAAATGCATTGATCTACACAATAATGATAAAGGTACTTTTCTATATACTTTAGTGAAAAATGAAAAAATAAACCACTCTGACTGGCAAATATTAAGTGCAAAAGTGGACAGACTGGAAAGCAAACAGGAGGCTACTACATTTTTTGGGATAAGGAAATGCCTAGTAATTTGGACCCGTGGTGAGTTCTGGTGATAAATACAGATACTAGTTTATGGGTGGGAAGTTTCCTGCTGAGGGAAAAAAGAACCCAAGAGATTGATATTGAATATGAGAAATAGGCAGCTGAGCACAATCTAGAGGGAAGGAAAGGGGGAGAAACAGACCGCAAGTCTGGAAAGATTCCTCAGCTCCATCTTAACAACACAGAGTTTCCTTTCTCATGAATCCAACCACACTACACAAAACCAACCAGTATGTGTGTAACCAGAGCTGTTCACCGGTTTGCCCTTAGAATTGACATGAAGACCTCCTCACAGCTTTTTCAGCAGGCTTTCTAAAATGGATAAATTGAGAAATACAATTTTGGGGTTCGGGTAGTAGCACAGTGGTAAGTGCTTGCCTAGCATACTGGAGGCCACAGGTTTGGTTCTCCCAGCACCACCAAAAATTTGTTTATAAACCCCCCCCCGGATATGTGTATATATTCACACATAGTTTGGAGAAAGGATGGATGGAGATAATGTATGGATGCCACCCTTTTAATACAGGGGAATTGTGAAAGATGTTAACAGCATCTGGGACCATGTAGACACTTAAATTAACTGAAAAACTGATGTGTTGGATAAGCAAGTATTTATCAGTATATAAATTTCAAAAGCTCATTTAAGGAATCAGAGCAGCCCTGTTCTGTTCCAAGCCCACAGGAAAATCTGTGGCCAACATGACTTACACAGCAAAGCAGCCAACAGACCAAGCCGTCTGCTTCGAGCCACCACTGTGTATATATTACCTCATTTATTCTTCAAAATAATCCTGTTGAGAGTTAGTCCAGTTTTACAGATGTAGATGTAGCTGAAAGAAGTTGAGCCCTGCCAGTCACAGCTTGCTCAGGGTGGCCTCAGCCTCTTCCCCCCTCCCTGCATGGCCACTCATCCCCAGCACATGATGGAGGGTAAAGCTGGTTTTGTTTCTGTTTATAGGAGAAGTGTTAGGTGGGAAAATATTCCCGAAAAGTTGGTAAGCATTGTGTAGACATGGGTTGATGAGGAATGCTGCATTCCTCAAGGGAGCAGCTTACACTGCTGAGCCAGAGGCAGCAGGGGTGGTCTGGGTGGCAGATGCAAAGCGGGAGGTGGAACTGCTCTGAGGTGACCTCCGCAGGTGTCTTCTGCTCCCATGGGTGTGGGACAGAGAACAGGGGAGATAGGAGTGGCGGGGGCAGAGTCATCTCTTGCACACAGAAACTCTCCAGGAGAATACAGACACTGGCCAAGCAGTTGTCCTTGGGAGCAGCATAGTCACTGGGGGCTGAAAAATGGGAGATTTTTCTCTTGTATTCTTGGCACTTAAAATTTTTTTCTTTTGGATTTTTGTCACATTCTTTTTCTGTGTTTCATTAAGGTAATTTGCTTCCATATTTATGAAGGATACCAATAGGTAGTTTTCCTTTTTGCTACTGTTTTTGTTTGGTTTTGATATCAACATATTGCTGGTCTCATTTGTTTTCTCGAAGAGATTGTGTAGAATTGGTATAAATACCTTTAAAACGTTTGGTACATTCTCCAGTGAAACCATCTGGATGTGAACATTTCTTTTGGGGGAGGTTTATAATTAGAAATTCAATTTCTTTCGCAGTTCTATAGCTATTATCTATTTTATATCAAATGAGCTGCTGCTCCTTTTGACTTATGTGGTCAAATTTATTTATAGAGTTGTTTCTAGTAAATGTTGAGGATCCCTAAACTGAAAATCTGAAATGCTTCAAAATCTGATACTTTTTGAACACCAACAAGATGCTACAAATAGAAAATTCCATGCCTAACCTAATGTGTACAAGGTATAAAATGAATTCTGTGTTTAGATTGAGTTCCGTCCCCAAGATACCTCATTACGCATACACAAATATTCCAAAATTTAAAAAAATGTGAAATCCAAAACACTTGTCTGGCCCCTCTCATTTCAGATAAGTGATATGCAACTTGTATTCTCTTATTTTCCTTTTGATATCTTGCAAGTCTAGTGATACGCTATGTCACTCTCCATATCAACAATTTGTGTCCTTTCTCTGTACTCTTGAAGACCGTTTGCTTTGTTGTTGTTTGAGATGGGGGCTTGCCGTGTTACCCAGGCTGGCTGCGAGCTTGCGATCCTCCCATCTCATCCTCCCAGGTGGCCAGGCTTACAAGTCTGTCCCACCGCACTCAGCCTGGTTTTCGCAGCTTTCCATTTCATGGATTTTCACCTAATGTATTTTCTTTTGAATTTCATTGATTTCCATCTTTATTATAACCTTCCTTTTTTAGATTTTCCTTTTCTTTTCTGGTTTCTTAAGGGTAAAAGTTTAAATTGAGACTTAGTTGTTTTTTTTTCCAGTTCCGGGAATTGAATTCAGGACCTTGCGTTTACCAGGCAGGTGCGGTGCCATTGAGCTAAATCCCCAGCCAACTTATTATTATTATTTTTTTAATGTATTCAGTGCCCTAAATTTCCCTTAGCACTACTTTAGCTGTATCCCATAAATCTGCATATGTTTTCTTTTTATTTTCACTCAGTTAAATCTGTTTTTAAAAAATTTCTCAACCTGACTCATGGCTTATTTAGAAGTCTTCAGAAAATTTGCTGTTATCTTTTTGTTATTGATTACTATCTTCAGCATTTTCACTGTACAGTGAGTTTTATTAAGTATATTGTCATTACTGTGCAGTGAAACTCCATAATCTTTTCATCTTGGAAAACTGATATATCCATTAAGCAACTCTTCATTTTCCTAACTCCTGTTCCCTGGAGATTACCATTCTACCTTACGTTCTATGAATTTGACTAGATGCCTCAATATGTAAGTGGAAAAAGATACTTGGAGTCATCTATGAATATTTATATTCAGGTATCTCTTCAAGTTCTTGCTTTCCATTCATTTGCTTATATACAGAAATACTGCTGCTGGATCATACAGTTCCATTTTGAGTTTTCTGAGGACTTTCCATACTCTTTTCCACAGCA